ATCCTTGGTGATCCACAGCGCATGAAACTAGTTGTGCCATCATTCAGAAACTGCCAGAAATTGGTGCTTCCCCTTTGTTGAGCCCAGACCCATCCCCAATATTCTTGATAGTTTTCCATTCTTCCTCATCTACTCATGATAATCCCATAAAATTTCCCATAAAACGCTTGGTCGATGTTGGATGATTTTAGAATTCCCACTTGAACATGTATCAAAATAGCCATAGCCATACCGATCCATGTGGCCTTCATCTCATCCGACAACTTCTTGGCCAAGCGGTAGCGACGATCCTGGTTGAACCAAGGTGGACAACAAGGTTTGCAGCTTTTATGATGGATCCGTTTCATGGATTTTTTTACTGGCTCATCTAGAAAAATGGAAAACATAGACCCTGACAAGAGCGATGAAAGCTTGCGCTAGGTCTGAGAGTTAGAATCGGATTTCCAGAATTGCAATTTGGAGGTTTCCATTAATGGGGATCCCAAAATGGATGGTTTGTAATGGAAAATCTTATTAAACTGGATGATATAAGAGTACCCCCATTTTGGGAAACCTCCATTTGAGTCCAGCCTGCAATTGTGCTTGCTGCTGAGCTTGGAGTGCCGCAACCTGCCGGTGACCCGGGGCCACGGCCAACAGTTAGCCAAGCCTCCACGCCACGGTACAAATATTTTATCCCAAAAAGTTCTTGTTGGTTTGTCCACTTAGTTTAGAAACCTCAGCCAAGAAGGCCTCCTTTTTGGTACCCTTTTTGGTACCCTTTTTGGTACACGGTCGACCGTTCGGCGCCTTGCTCTTCACTCGATTGTTGCGAATGACGTTCATCATTCGGTTTTCCCAGTGGCCCTTTTGCTCCACCTAGCGGACATTTTTCCGGAAAATGGAGCTGGATCCATCCATCCATGCTTCTGACCTTATGAATGTAACATTAATACACACATATATATATATATTATGTTAATTATATATATATATATTATTATTTATATAATTATATATATAATATATAATATAATATAATATAATATATTATAATATAATAGAATATAATATAATATAATATAATATATTATATTATATTATATATATACATACATGAATGTCTTCAAACATATTCCCCCCCATTTGGTCCCTTCGTGTCGAAGACGTCTTTTCGCCGCGGCTGGGGGAACGCTAAGATCCGAGCACCGATCCGGTACAACGGCTCTTGTTCTGCCCTTGTGGCAGCCGTGCAACGAAATTCACTGGGCGCAGTTTGGCACCTGGCCACCGTGATTTCGAGTAATTACTGCTGGTTTTTCAACCTTACCTAAGGGGCCTAACGGAAATCCACATGTTCATGCAATCACTTGTTTAAATATGTTTTTCCATGATATCTCAAAGGGGAATTTTCCGTTACCAGCTAGAAACTCTACCACATTTTTCAGATCCGAATTACCATGGCTTCACGTACACCAAGAACTGCTCTTTGCCGTTGCTCTTGATGTCCATGGTGATCTTGTCGCCGTAGGTGATCTCCTGTCCGGGCACCATTTCGAAGCGGCAATGACGTAACAACTCCACTGTGGCGGTCTTGGCCTCAAAAATGGCCTTGGATAAAGAAGTGGCTGGTGATGTTTTTTTGAAAAGCAAGGCCTTTTTCATGCGACTGGAGATTCGGATGTGTGATTCTCAATGGAAATCTGTTGTTTTGAATGCAATTTCAGGGAGCGCAGCCTATAGCCAAGATCAGCCAAGTATCCATGTCCATTCCCAAGCAAATTCTGGGCCCCGCTTGGAAGACTGGAAACTCATGTTGCGGTGGAGCGTTGAATGGAATCCACCTCTCAGGACGGAAGTGAAGAGGTTCCGGATATCTCTCAGGATCCCGACCCATGTTGTATGGGATGAAGGCAACGCTGGCGAACTTGGGCACCTTCCAACCACCTGGAAGCACATCATCTTCGAAGGCCATCTTCAGGTCAAAGGGCACCGGGGGCCATATGCGCAAGGCTTCGTAGATCACCCCGTTCAAATAGGGCATCTCATTTGGGGACAGACTCTTCCAGTCCATGGCTTTCCCAGGAGGCAATTTCTGCATGATCTCATCATGAAGTCGCTGTTGGACATCCTGGTTCTTGGTGAGTTCATAGACCATCCAAGACAACAAGCAAGCAGTGGTGTCCCTTCCTGCAATGATCAAGTGAAGCACCATCTGCTTCACAAAGTCACTGCTGAACTTTGCCTGCAGAAACAGAGCCTGCCAGCGATCAAACAGGAACGGATGGAACAGGAAAATCCATGGAAAAAACACAAAATTCACCGGAAAACTTCCAGGTATCGGTGGCACAAGTCAAAATACATGGTCAGACTTTTAACTTCAAACTTGATAATCTTGAAAAACTGCCGAGGGACCAACAGATCTTTTCTTTCCGAGAACTTTGGATCCTCAAGGCAGTTCTTCACTAAGCGATTGGCTTCTCGATCCAGGATCTTGGTACATCTCCTGAGCTGTCGGTGTTGGGGAGATAGGAAGTCATAGATGGCGCGGGCAAAGCCACCATTTTTTCCACCAAAGGGCCACGGCAAGAAGGTTGTAAAGATCATGAAAGGAGCGATGGAGTCCACTCCGTGCGTTCGAGATGCGGCATTTGCATCATCAAAAGCCTGGCCATAGGTATTCTTTTGGCCCTCTGCGGTGTTGGTGTCTTCTCCAAAGAAAATGCGCATGATGCTGTCAAAGGTGAAATTGAAGAAGCATGCTTGGATATCCACAGCGTCAGCATTGCTCGCCGGCTCGGACACGAATTTCCTCTCCAGGAAACGGCGGAGCACTTCTGCTTTTTCGATGAAGACATCCTGCATCATGCTGTTGAAGTTCTTTCCTGGTTGCTACATGTTGGTCCTTTCACTCTCTTAACATCACTACTCTTATATATATATATGTATATATATACCTCATATATATATATACATATATGTATATATGATATATGTATATACCATTGTATATATATATATTAATTTCACTTGGGTTCTTCATTCCACCAGACAACCTTCGCAAAAACACATCTTCCCAGTGTCGGTTGAAGATCTGCGCTGAGACTTTCCGCATCTTCGTCCACTCCTGGCCGTCATCCTCGGAACCGACACCATGCTTTTGCACAAAGATGCCGCTGCCCAAGAAGTCTTCAAAGTAGTAGAAAAAGGGATCAATGCTGCTATCCGGCTTGGTATACTTTGAGAACTCATCTTTCAAGATGTGGCGCACAATGGCTGGATCATTGGCCAGCAGGGTATATGGCGCCGGGCTCCAAGAGAAGCCCAGGTTTTTCGAAATGGGCCGACCCTCACAGATTTCCAGGCGCCAGTCATGCAAGCGGTACAAATTCCGTTGTAAGTCTCGGATCCAACCCGCTGGGGCGTCGTGACCTGCACCCTTGGTGGCGGGCATATCCTTCAGCACTTCTCTCATGCGCGAGGAGACCGTGAAGCCTTTCCACAAACGATAAAAGACTTGAACTGCACCAAAGACTCCATAAGCAATGACCTGGGCTGAAAATGTATGGAGTCACGGAGCCACGATCAATGCTAATCCCACAAAATCTGCAAGAAAATACCAGGAAAAGGCGAAAATTGTCTAAAAATGTCTAAAATATAGACTAAAATGGCAAGCAGTGACGCTATTGATCACAATCTTCTTTGCCAAAGTCCCTTTTGACTCCTCCATGTCTCGTCTCTGTCAGCGGTACGAACTTTTTAAAGGGGCGCCACAAGGTCTCAGAGCCGAAAGCCTCTAGCAGATCCTCTGGGATTTCAATGGACAGGCTCATCAACTTCTGATTGTTAATCAATGTTGATCATCCATTTTCCATATAAATGTCCATGTCAAAAATATCAGTTCCATACTAAACTGGCCATTTGGGGTGAAATCCTGCTGAGCTCAGAAAAAGCGTGTGATTTTCCTGCGTTTCAAAGATCGTTTTGAAGTCCGAAAAATCCTTCACGGATTTCAGCCCAGTTTGATGTCCGACCCATCAGCCCATAGCGCCTTGAATCGCTCCAACTGGCTTGCAACTCGTGTTTCATATTGAAACTCCTGAAGCAGGACATGTTCCGCACGTTTTGATCACAGAAATCTCAAGTTGATCAGATTCCAGGGCAGCCGGAAAAACATCATCTGCACCCGGTTTTTTGATTTCGGTAAACCCACCAATACTAAACCTCCAAATCCGGAATGGATGTTTTGATGAAGTTTTCATCCATGTTTTCATCATCCATAAACCTGGTATGTGTCCATTCCCGGTTTCCATTCCTCCTCCTGACGTTTCAGGATTGCACGATCTGGTCGAATCATTGAAGCCATCGCTTCGCGAGGCGCTGGAATATCGAGGCCCGAGGCCTGGCGAACGAATCCGGCGAGCACCAGCGCTCGTCAGGTCCGAGATTCCGCCAGGGGCCAAAATCGCTCAAAAAATCGCTGGAATCGATAGAGATATGAGATCTATCTATGAGATCTAATCGAATCTAATCTAACCTAATCTAATCTAATCTAATCTATCTATCTATGTATGTATATATATATATACATATATATATTATCAAGATCTATTATACATCTATAATATCTATATAGATCTAGATCGATAGGGCCCCATAGGAATCATCCCACGTCATTCCCAAATCTCAGGGATGCCTGGCCTTCGCCCCGGCAAACACCTATGACTGCTATGACCCTCCGGCCGGGAAGGGCAGTCTCGAGCCGCGGAAGGGCCGGAAGGGCAAGACTCACGGCCTGAACAAAATGGTCAGAAATCATGCTGTTTCCAGTGAGGATATTGATCTTCAACGCTGAACCAACATGAATTAACAGTGTTTAACATGATCAAAGAATATCAAAGACATGCGGCTTTGTGCTTTGAAGCAAGAATTTGGATTGAGGTCCAACAATATCCAACAATAAGCAATTCTTCGGAAAAGGCACTTTAGCTCTGAGCAACTAGCAGGAAAGGCGCTCACCCATTTTTTTCAAGCGTTCTTTTGCCCATCTCGGAACCTACTAGCAAGAGCGCAGCGGTTGATGGAAACAGTGGGTGACTGTGCAAGATCAGAAGATCGGCGGAGATTTACTGTAGCAAGCACGTGCCGAGCAGCACTACCTCGCTAACTATACCCTCAAGAGAACAGGGAACGGTCTCCCTGGCGGCCCCGATATGAGGTGGCCTTAAATTCAAACCATGTCACACAAAGCGTGTGGACTGCGGCATCAAATGAGCTGACGGAACTGGCACAACATGGCACACAAAGCCACAGTTCTTGAGTCTTGAGGCGCGTTCTTGACTGCTGATGGACCTTTGGTATTGGTCAACACCGAGTCAACACCCGTTTAATCTATGTCAAATTATGTCAATGCCCCAAGCCCCCAAGAGTGAATAGACTAGTACATCATAGACTACACTGAATTTCAGCCCATGTTTGGCGGCGCTGGATGCTGGATGTTGGCCCGCTGTCTCTACGAATCACCATCAATCCTTGCCGGGTGCAGCTCATTCGAAACTAAATTTGGGGTACTTCTCCTTGAGTCCTGGAAGGCTTTCACGTAAGACCTGCATATCCTTCAGCAATGCAGGCGGAACCATGACACCACCTGCGAAGTCAACAAGCTCTGCAGATTCTGAATAAGAAAAGCTTTGATGAATTGTAATATATAGAATATATATATATAATATATAATAGAATTAGAATATTATAGAACTGTACTATGGTATACTATGGTGCAATTAGAACATGAATCTCAGATCCTACATGACCCTACTCTTCACTACACAGGAAGCACCCCACCTGCAGCCATGCGCTTCTTTCGGAACTCGTTCTCAGCCTCGCCAGCGGTCCAAATTCTTCCAGGGCCGTTGGGATCTTTGGCGGAGTTGCGCAAGTATCGAAGGAAGTCGCCGGTTTTCTTCTTGAAGACCTGGAGGTGCACCAGGTGCACCCGACACAGATGACACAGCACCAGTTCCCCCCTGTCCTAAGCCGCCCAGAACACCTTCCGTTCCGCTCCTTCCGCTCCCACCTCCAAATCACAAATCGCTTCCACGTTGATGGCCAGGAAAAAGTGGCCCAAGGACATTGGTGCTGGCTTTCCTGCCCCAATCCCACGACGTTTCTAGATGTGACGCCCTTTCCGATCCCTGCATTGGCGAGAGCCAGGTGCTTAGATTTCTCTAGTCAGCTCCTAGCAGTACCAAATCTTGGGACTCTAAAAAACGGCTGCAAAATCAAGCCCCAAACAGCCAACTCTGTGGAAAAAACCACCTCCCAGACCTCCCAGCCTTGAGCATCCACCCCAGTCAGCTGGGGTCCAAAATCTCCGTTTTGAAAGGCGATACTCAGGAGCTCCACCACCACGGACCAGGAGTAGCCCTTGTAGCCGCCCAGTTCGTCTCCGACCCCTGGATCAGTAAACGGATCACCGTTTTGAAAGTTGATGACAGAAAAATATCTGGAGATTCTGAAGTTATTGTGGATCTGTTTTCTTTCTGAGAAACCAAGAACTGATGGAAATCTGATCAGTTTGTAGGACACCAAGATCAGCAGCAGTTTGCTTTACGAAAATTCAGCAGTCTGAGATTGTGATTGCGTTTCTGCAAATACACCAACAGGCCCCCTCACGGACTCCATCACCAGTTTCTCCTACTACACCACATTTAGTCTCGTGGCCCAGTGGGCCCAGCCCTTTCCCGCCTCCCAAAGGAGTCAAAGCACATTCGCCTTTCACCATTCCTTTGAGAATCCCCTCTGTGTCAGTGCGCTCCTCTCCATTGCTGTCAATCACCATGCCCTTTGGAGTCGACATGCCCAATCTGGCATACTTCTCGATCTTGCCCCGCTGGCAAATGGAAGTAGCGCAATCAATCACAAAGGGAAAAGCTTCATCCGAAGGAATGCCAAAACACAGAGGATTGGTTCCCATGCACGGCTCCACACCAAAGGTTGGCGCAATGGAGGGCCGGGCATTGGTGCCAGCAAAGCCAACACAGCCCTTTTCACAGGCCATTGAAGTGTAGTAACCTGCGATGCCATAGTGAGTACTATTCCGACAAGCCACGAAACCAAGACCCGATTTCTTAGCCTTGGCAATGGCAAGTTCCATGCAGAAGGGTCCGACATAGAGGCCCATCCCCATATTTCCATCTACCAGGGCCGTGGTTTCGGTCTCCTTCACGATGTCAATGGGGGCATATGGCTTCAAGATGCCATTCTTAATACGGTCCAAGTAGATGGTCTTCAAGCGCCCAATGCCATGGCTGTCAATTCCTCTCTTGTCGGCCTCAATCAGCACCCCTGCAGAGACTCTGGCCTCTTTCTCAGGGCATCCGGAGGCTAAAAAGCATTGCACCATAAACTCCTCAAGGTAGTCAAAATCCAAGACCTTGGCTCCCTCGACGTGAACTTCCTGAAGGGGGCCTTGAGTCGATTTCCCCACTGGACATCCAAAGAACTGGCAGCCAATTTTTACGATGAGATCATCAGGCGGCCCTCCAGCGTCCAGAAACTCATGAATCAACTTCTTGTAAGCATCCTGCTGAGTAGGCTGAGTCGAGGGTCGGATTCTTACTGACTGGACGAAAAATTACATGACTGTCAACAGAAAGATGGTTACCATAAGAACTGCTTAGCTGAACTTTGCTGGATGAACGAGACCCGTTGCAACGTTCGCTGATGGGCACTACTTGTGGAATTTACGGATGCTTCCTCATTTTCACATGCAACAAGCTGCAAATCGCTGTTGAAGGTGTTGGAGTGTACCCTGGGCTTTTTCAATACACACCAAGATTCTAACACACGGTTCATTCTCTTTCTCATACCACTTCAACTTATCCCAACTTCCCTCGAAATCAAATCTTCAAAAATGGCGCCACGAAATCTTCAATATCTTAGTTGATTCAAGCCACAAACATCCTTTTTTGTCGGCCAAAAGCCCTTCCTTCACCCCACCATTCTCCAAGCCAGCTCGAGCCACCAGCTCTCCAGCGCGGCGCCGGAGCTCGTTGAGCTCGTTGAGGTCTACGGATTCATCGTGCTTTCGTTTCATCGCGAGGGCAACGAAACGACACCCAGCGGGCAACACCCGTGACCGCCGACGGCCTAAGAAAAGACGAGCGCTGGTTTTTATCAAATCTCCCAGCTGTGTGTTGATGGTCCCAGTTCTGATGCTTGCTGGTCTGAACGAGTTTTTTGCCTTGGCATATGGTGACCCCACTCCACCTTGAGCCCATAAACTGCCACCTTGCACAAGTTGCATCCATTGAGTATGTCGACCCAAAAAAACTCAGCACACGGGACTACAAACATCATCAAACATGTATTTGAAATCTCATTGTACATCTTTCGCAGTACTCAAGGCTTCACGAATTTATCCTCCTCTTGGCCGCTGCGGTGCGCGGATCCGCGATGGTCCACGGTTGTCTTTGGAAGCCACTCTGCTCCGCATGGTTCCGGTGCTCCACCAACGGCTCTTCGCATCATCTCCGCCTTTCCCCCAGGATGTTGCACTATGTGTTGCGCATCTGTCAGCTCGTGTCAGGTCGTATCAGGTCGTGTCAGGTCGTGGCTGTCAGGGACCGCCCTCCTTGTTTTCTTGTCCGAGAAAATCTCTCACCAGAATGGCACAGAATGGCACCTGACAAATCGAAAATGAGAAAACCATTGAAGTGGGCTTGAGATTTCGGGGGTAAGAATTGGAATACCCAGTATATGTCAATAATCTTGTGAATCCCTATTGAATATTTACCAAGCAAATGCCCAAATGCATCACGCAGCTGCAACTTTTGGAACATTTGGCTCCACACCTGGCGTCTGCTGGAGATCTGTGAAGATAGGGGCATTCAAATAACTTCCTCGTCACCATAAGAGAAGAAGGTGGGAATCTCCCACTTGAGATACAGCGGCCTCAACATCGATGGAACTTCACAAAACACGTGCGTTTTGAACCTCCCAACCTTCTCAAGGTAAAGACAATGTATTAATGTATTTGATGTTGTGTTGGAAACAGTAGTGAAAGCCCACACAAAATTCAGCAGGTGCTATGTCCAATGTCAACCTTTGTTGTACTAAAACCAGCCAAAACCTGCCAAAACCTGCAGCAAATGGACAATGCCGGATCAGATTCTCTGGCGTGCTGCGACAGAGGCTCGCCAAACATCCGGTGCCACACAGCCTGAGGACACGTTTCCTGAGATTTCCTGAGTCAATGGATTGGTTTGTTGGGGAAAAATGAAACCGGTTTAAGCCCCATGAGAAAATCATGGGAAAATCACTCTGGTTTCCGGTTTTTCGATTTTCCCCAAGAAACCAATCCATTGACTGAGCCATCAAAAGACCGATCAATTTGGGATGGCCTTGTGGGATCTCCAGACAGAACCAGGCGCTGCTGACATTCGTCTCCCTTGACTTGATCCATTGAAACTGGGTGGTTTTTTTTTTCGCAACCCGACTGGAGATCTTTTTGGGTAGACATCAAACTAAATATATGGGGATGGGTCAAAACCTCGTACCCCTGGTGAACATCAAAATAGCTGGTAAATGGATGTTCATTCCCCTAAAAATGGTATTAATAGGTATTCACCCATAGCCATATATGAGTCCATTGCGCAATCTTATCATTGAAGGTATCTGCTGCTCGACCATATGTCCGGATTCATGTGCCGCATCACCTGACAAGTGCCAGATGTCCATTACCCCTTTCAGCATCCACGCCTCAAAAAGGCCCGTAGTACTAGAGCACCACACTCCATCAGCTGCGAAGTTCTCGATTTCTTCTAGGGGCCACCATTGCAAACGATCCTGAAACAAAGACAAAAACAAATGGGCCCCTCAGGACCCCTCAGGACCCCTCATGCTGCTTTTCTGACCTGCGACCTGTTTTTTGCTGTTGACGAATGGGAATCAATCGCCTTTTCAGGGTGCAATTATCAACATACATATTATATATATATATATACATGGATCATAAATATATTTATAGATGAGATTGTCTTGCGGGATCTTGCGGGACCCAGTCTATGGATGTCTTCGCGGTAACTCTTAAGGAGGCACTCTCGTCGCTGGTAAGGGGTCAAACCAACAGGGTGTGGGTCGAAAAATGAGGTCTTGGAGGTCAAAAAACATTGAGCCCAGAATAAGGACCTCAGAAAATGCTGGCGTGGTGTGACATGGGATGTTAAAACGGAGTTATGCCGTTTGATGATAGACCCTTTCTGAAGTCCTTCCGCACAATGGACTGGGAGCCAGTGTAGAATTGAAAAACGCGGCTGGCGTTGGTTTTGGAAGTGACCCGGGACACTGATTTTTGCAGATCTGCACTGGGAGGAATTTTGACGAATGTGAACTCACTGCTGGGGCTCTGAATCAGCTCAGATCCAGCACGAACTGTGCAGCTTTGAGCTTTCTGAGCGTCTGCATAGCCCTGCTTTGTGGTGGACTTGGTCAATGGAATGAAGCTTTCACAGGTGAAACCAGCACAATCCTCACCAAGTTCATCGCATCTTCTACGGGCCTCCAGTTCCCCACGAACCACTTCGTCTCCAGCTGCATAGCCAAAGAGAAAGGAATTGTTCACGGCTCGATACGTTGATCCTGCTGTGGCACTCGCAGCAACACTCGCATCTGCATTGTGTGCAGATCTGCAGCTCTTGATGTAACTCACTTCAGCGACTTCCCTTTCTGGCGACTCTTGCAATCCCTCAGCCCCCCTCCGCGCCGTGCAGGAGTGGCGCCCCCATCGGTCCCGAAACAGTGGCACCTCCCCGAGTTCATCCAACTCCGCCGGTTCCAAAGGCGAAAGGCAGGTGACACCAAGGCATTCCTCGTCCAGTTGGGCGCAGGTGGCCTTGGCGGCCGGCAGACTTGTCCGTGTGCGTCCTGTGTGTCCGGCATGGCCAAGTAAGTAGTAACCAACATGTTTCTGCCACTTGCAACGAGGTGGGCCAAGGCCCATGTCTGTCCAAGGATGTCCGAAAACCCGATGCCAAAAGCGTTGCCAGATTGGGGCAAAATCCTTTCCCCAAACACGCATCGGTTCGATCACCATTTGCTGCGCCAAAGGATAGTATCCCAAAGCCTCTCGCGCGAATGAAAGCTATCCATGCATGGATTTACTTCACTCAAACATGGATCAAAAACTGATCAAAAAAAAAACTCCACGCCTCAGATGCTAGCAACCCTCGCCTTTAAAAAAACATAAAGAACAAGCTTTTGAAATGGATTTCAGAGAGCCCAGCCTCCTGCGCAAATTTCGACTGCGTCTTAATCAGTTTCAAGGCCCGCCGGAGCGCCAGAAACTGGGAGCCTTGATGCTCATCAGCGTCTGGGTGCACAAAAATCGTAAAATCGGGTAAGTTCTCCCAGTGATCCGCGATATATTTGAAATATGCCGTTTGTTCTTCCCTGCGTGGCCCAGCGGAATAACTAATCACATGCAACTTGCGCACTGCCCTGCGAACTTTGGCAAGGACTTCATCCTTGAGGGGCGCACACCATGGCCAGTCAACTTGATAGATGTAGAAATCCGTGTCAGTCAGAAGTCCAGTGTCACCAGTGTCATCGCCACCATCGCCACCATCGCCACGGCTCTCACCAAAGGGCGGCTCCAAAATCCAATCCAACTCATGGCTCGTTCCAAATCGATCAATCATTTGGCAGTAATTCATCACCATGGCACTGGACAAAGACCTCTTTTGCGCCAGTGCTTCACTGATGTTCATGACCCGTTGGACGCCTTCATCTAATGGCCATGTCTTCATCTCGTCCGGTGTGATCTTCTCATTTCGAATGGCTTCATGTAAGTACAAGGTGTATTGCGCCATCAGGCTCTGGAAAGCATCTGTTTGATACACCAAGTTCTCTTCAAGTTTCAACAAAATAGCTTGCAGCAGTGCCGCTGGGCAAATCTCTTTGATGAGCTCTCGGCTTTCCAAAATTCGTGCCACTCTCTCCGAGTCTGAAAGTTCAAAGAAGCCACTCCGATAGTAGGCGCGGGATCTCACCAGCATCACAGTGAAGTCCGGCGCATCGCAGTTGGAAGGCAGCTCCGCTGCAGCATGCAGAAGAATCCAAACAAGGAATCGCATCTAGAGAACTTTTCAGGAACCATCAGATACCAGCCGTTGATACCATCAGAAAAACCTGGTAGATCTGGAGCCAAATTATACCGGCGCAGCTTAGAACCAGAACTGAGATGGAATCAAAATCTGAGGCTAGATGAAACTGTGAAGTTTCGACAGCCTTGTGATTCCGGTCGGTCAGGAATCTAGCAATTGGGTTCAAAAAGGTCATGAATGGTAAGAATGTATCTATAGTCTATATCCAATCTGTACTGGTACCGTCACAACTTGAAGGATCAAGCTGAAAGTCAAATGTTTGACATTGAGTTTTAAGGAAGTCAACGAAAAGAAAAAACCTTGACAGTGGCCCTCTGGTGACATACCTAACATATCTATACGCATCTATACATATCTAGCATCTTGTATACCTAGAGATACATCGGCAAAATCAAGCTCGTCCACTTTCGTTTTTTGCCGCAAAGTGAAACTCAGGCGCCAGACATCACGGGATTCCAGCACTTGGACGTGAGCACTTGGCAGTCAGAATGGATCACTGCAACAATAGCGCTTCGGAGAATGCGCTTTCCACAGCTTTTTTCGAAAGGCCTGACTTGAATCCGGAAAGGAGCAACAGGTGTACCGGCATTGAATTGAGTAGAAAGCCTTGTCCCTCTACCAAGGTGTGAACTTGTCCAGGTCTTTACACCCCAAAATGTGTGTTGAAAGGGTGAAACCGCGGCACATGTTAGTCGCAAAGTCACTGGAGACAAACCACAACTCAACGAATTCACGGTGAAACTACCAATGATTCCGTGCCACGGTGAAACATGGTGAAACCTGTTGTGAGACAGGCGACTCTTCACCTGAGGCGTGTGTATCCATGAATCCATGATGGAAGTGGATTGGGGAAACAGGCCAACTTTTTTGGCCAACAAATAAGATAAACTCTGATAAACTCTGATAAACCACATGACAAGAACCACAAACACATACCAAAACCATCCAAAACCATCCAAAACCATCCAAAACCATCCAAAACCGATATCCTCTGCCGATGCTTCAAGAAAGGTGCTGCGTTCGGGGGCACTCTGAGGATCTCTGAGGCTGCAGGGATGTCGTGTACCGCATCAAGCGAAACGGAAAGCCATCCCATATGGCCCTTATGGGTAGCAAGTAATCCCCAATCAACCATTTGCTACACCCCAAGAACTACAAGCAATCAGGATTTGGGTAACTGCTCTTGTAGGTCCAAAATGGTCCAAAGATCAGCAACAAGCGCCATGTCCCCTAGCTCTCGCAGAAAAATGGTGCGAATGTGTTGCCGAAGGGTTGCCGTGTGCCTGGAGTGAAATCCAATCGAAATGGAGCATTGATTTGGCGCATCACCCACCCGACAGCCGTGCAGCCGTGCCTCTCAAGTTCCCTCAGCCTGACAGGCAATGGCAAACATGACTGAGTGGAAGCCTGATGATTTCACAAGTCCGACGAAAACAAAAAAGAAGCCAGAACCATAGACACAGCCATTGACAAGGCCCTGCCTCTCCAGTCGCTTCCACGGTCTGCGCTTGAGGCGCTGCCATCTGCGCCTCCATCACCATCTGGGCTTGGGCCATTTGAGCCATCTGCGCCTGCTGCCCCTGCTGCACATGTGCTGCACGGGCTTGGGCCAGCTGCTCCTGAGCCATTTGGGCCATCTGGGCCTGTTCTGCCTGCACCGCAGCAATCTCCGCCTCAGGCTTCCACCGTGGCCGCGACATGACTGGGGCTGTGCGATCAGGGTAGAACCTGCACAGCAGCTCTACTTCGATCTGAGACTCGAGCGGCTGATGCATGGAGATTACCTGCATCGGCGCATCAATGTGGCCAACGTGACTTCTGTTGCATTGTACCCAGCTGCAACAGCGAGAAGTACTAGGAACTAGAATCCAAGCTGTCTACATCAGGCAGTGATGGGTATGGAAATTAAATCCATCAAATGAAGTGCTGAAGATGTGATGGTTTTGTTGCACCTTCAACCATCAATCTGCAGGCATTGGTCGCAATCCCAATAGCCATGTTGCAGTTGGCTAGTTCAGAACAGACAAAAATCATGGCCCAATGGCCCAAAGTGCGCTGCCAAGGTGCTAACATCCAACCCTTGTTCTTGCAAGTATCGCATCTCTGCTTGAAAAGACCTCATCGGCAGCCAGTGAAGGCTTGGAAGACAGAACACACAGAACCTCAGATTCCTTTCAGCCCTGAGGACTGTGCGCCATTGCTTGCTGGAAACGAGCTTCCTGGAGATGCGGAGCGGCGTTGCGCGAATGTCTAAACTCAGATGGTTCAGTTTGTTTCCAGCGCACAGAGATTCTCTTCCAGTTCCACTGGAAAAATGCCAAACTGTTACCATCCAAACCGCTTCACTAATAATTCGTATCTTCCTGCTTCGTTGACCGCAAGGCCGCAAGATCATGTGAGCACAACCGTTGGGAGGCCCAACTTGGCCGCACGGAAGATGGGAGGATCATCATCCGTCGAATTTTCATGGATGTTCATCACATTTCATCACTGTTATCCTGTTATGACAGTCTACCGTTCTCAGTGTCTCCAGGAACTGCATATCCGTTACGCCAACGCGTCCTGTGGGTTGGAGTTTCTCAGCGACCTGTGCCAGGGTGCCAGGCCAAGCAAGCTGGGGAATCCACTCGTCTAAGAGTCCGGCACAGGGCTGCTACTTCTCTGCACAATCGGAGGCAACCTGAGGCAATCTGCAGCCAGTGTGAAAGGCTCAATGCGTTGTGTCTGAAAGGCATGTGATGCTGAGATAAAGCAACTGTTATCACTTGAGCTCCGTTAGGCCAGTGCGTAGTAGATACCCTATCCCTTCAATTGACGAAACAACCGCACAGCCTGACCTCTACACATGACATTCCCAATTTAACAGCTGCATCTTGGACTATAACAAACTATTACCCTCTGGTAAACAAACATAGCTATTGAAAATTGCCAATTATAGTGGATTTACCCATTACAATTGGTGATTTTCCCATAGTTATGTTCGTTTACCAGAGAGTATCTGTCTTCGAACCAGTCATCTGAAAGACTGGAGAGCTGGATGTGGCCTCGATCTGCTAAAACAATTGAGCTTCGGGCTGATGCACACCCCGCGACTGCTGCCTGCGATATTTCTCCTGTGTGGCGCCGGGAAATGTGTCAGGGAAACACAAAACAACTGTGTCTGAAAATGTGGTATATCCCCAAATGACAATTGGAACAATTGGAAGAAGAAAAATGATGGCCATTGGATCTTGGCGTATCCAATTTCAAGACAACGGGCAAAAATGGGGCAGGTCGCTCCTGCTGGTCAACCACTTTCCGCCGCACGTACCTGGGCGAATGTGAATATGTCACTGTCAGGAATCTTTGCGAGAGAAATTTGGTTATCCAAACTTTAGGGTACCCAAACCTTCTGTCATCTCAAACCTACTGGTTTGTTGATAATGGCAATTTCATTTCATAGATTGCAAGAACAACCCCCATTCAATCATCAACGAATAGGGATCCACTGTGCAGTGCTCATATATTGGGTTTCAAGAAGAAACCAGGCTATTCAAAAAAAAGAAAAAAAAGTTTTCAAACCTCATTTTTTCCCAAGAAAAAGTGTATCTCAATGCCATAAAATGTTGAAGAGTCACTGGAAATCGTTCATTTTTGCTGCAGTTTCTACTGGTATGGAGGTTTCCGTTAAATCAACTTGGCTTTAGTATGTTCCATTATAACTATACATATTTTAAAATTATAAATCAGGATGTTCCATGTTTACATATATATATATATACGTATATATATATATATACGTATATATATATATATATATATATATATACGTATATATATATATACATTAATTATAAATTATGAATAATCCAGCTGGGGTAGCATTTTTCTATGGAATCCCCATCCATCTCCGCTCCAAAACCGAAACCCAAAAGGCTCCCCGGCGGAGTTTCGGAGCTCGCCAGGGGTCGGCCACTGGGCAAGACCTTCTTCACCTGCCGCCGAGATCGGTGGATGTTGGTATCACCACCTATTGGTTGATCACGGGTAACCTTTCACCTTTCACTTAGATATGTGCTAACATCCGTTAACAGGTGGTGAATACCATATCTAAGTGATCTAAGTGATAGGATGGTTACCAGTGGTGAATATAGGTGGTGAATATCTATTAACTAAATGGATCTAAATGGTGCATACCAGTTGATGCTTAGTTATATGACATAGTTACTAGCCTCTGGTAATGACTAACAGTTTGCGAAGTGTAAGCCATGGCCCTGTGAAAGTTGATTTACCGAACTTAAAGATGGTGATTTTCCATAGCTATGTTAGTTTACCAGAGGGTACGGGATATGATTGAAGTATAAAAATGAGGAGGAGGAGGAGGAGGATTCTTGTCATGGCATGCCTTACACCCCCCACCCCCCTCTCCTGGTAAGTTACTTATGTGCTTGTTTTTGAGATGAGGCCTTTGAACAAAATAAGGTAGAAAGGTAGGAATATGTAGAAATAGAGATGGAATGAGCGATGATGCCCCAATATCCCTCCTTTCTTTAGGACATGTGGATTTAGGAAAAATAAGGTCTGATGCCCCAGTGCTACCATCCGAATTCCCATGAAAACAACAACGGGGACCAAATCAAATCGAGTAAGAAGCTATGTTTAGACCCAGCAGGATCCACCAATTGACAAGATTGTTTTGCAATGTTGATGAAACCTGGGATTTTGCAACTATTTTGGTTTATTCCTGGTTTGGTCCTGCCTTATTTTTTTGTAAACAAATCACCCCACTCCGGTGGCCCACTCTTGGTGGTATTTCTCTATTTCTTTGCAAACAAAAATCAAATATCCAGTTGTCTCCCTGATTGCCATCTTGTTGGAAAATAATGGTGAAATAACACTGGAACAAGCATTTGTTCTTATACCCTTCTTATTTGGGTACTATGTGTGTGTTTCCAAAATAGTACCTCATTAAGGCCTTAATAAGCCCCTAATAAGGCCTTACATATAATCCAGGATAAACACGGCTTACGGGATATTGATTGAAGTATAAAAACGATGAGGAAGAGGAAGAGGAAGAGGAGGATGATTATTGTTATTATCCGCCGACACCAGCCGACAGCGGGAGCGCGTCAGAAAGAGGGGACAAGAGATGGAGCAAGAAATTATAAAGCACGAAAAAGACTAAGAAAGAAGCGGCAAATACCGTGGGTGTGGGCTTCCAGCGCTCCAAAAACATTAGTATTTATGGTGTTCTTTGTTCCAAGGGTTCAAAAATTGCAAAAACACGGCCAATATGACGCTTTTAGGGCACTAAGCAGTTTGCACAAACTGCTTGCGGTGGTCAAGCGCAATGATATGTTAAAGGTATTGTAAGATACTACACTGTGACCTGCTTCAAAAACCACATTCCCGACCGACCGCGCGCGCTCAGAGCAACAAAAGGCAACAGCAGCAGCTCGCCCGACAGGGAACCCTTATGCCATCGCCGGTGTGCGAAGCTCTACAATTATTGATTATTACAGCATCTAGAAAAAAATATATATATATATATCAATAATATCAAGAACAATAGTAAGAATAATAGCTTCTCTTCACATAAATAACATAGGTAAACCACAATCATGGAGGAAATTACAATGAAAGTAATGGCAGATGTAACCTGACATCTATACCTCTCAAGCAGGTTTTCTTCCCATTCAAAACGAGGGGAGACAGATGGCCGGCTGTGCATATCTTGGGAGCAAAGCACAAGTTAGCTTAGGGCCTAGAGAATGTGCCGCACTTGTCGTCTTGACCAAAGAAAGCCACAACAACCTATTGCCGTTGGATTGAAAATTGTTACGAACCCATTGACTCATCACCATTTCGCGGTTAGGTACTGCCTGGTGGAGGTAGGACAGCAGAACTGGGCCCCTACAGATTCTACAAAGAAAAAGTCAATGATTATGTTCACCAGCACTGAGTTATGTACAAACCAGTTCCCAAAAATCTACTACCTCTCAAAACATCCTGCCTCCCTTCCACCTACATCCGGTGCGGACGCTGATTGATTCAGCGTTCCTGCGGCCACGTTCCCACATCAAGCAAAAAAAGAGCAGCGCAAAAAAGATCCACCGAAATAAACAGAACAACTTCACAGACTGCAGAACTGGGCCTCACAAATTGACACCGTATTTCATTCAGTGGTTTTTCTTCTGTTTGCTACATTCTACCCTCTGGTAAACATACAAAAAACTATGGAAAATCACCATGTTCAATGGGTAAATCAACTATTTCTATGGCCATTTTCAACAGCTTTTTGTATGTTTACCGGAGGCTAAATTTCATCAATGGTCCTTTCATGTCCTTTCCACCAACGTTTACATAGACTCCGTGGCCCCATGGCCTCGCGCACCAGTCTTCGCCCGCAAGGCCATGATATTGGCCTCGCTTGAAACTGCCCACCCCTGTTGCCATGTTTCAGCCTGTCTATCTCCAAAAGTCGAAAAAAAAAATCAGAAGGAAAAAATTACATTCCCGTTGTTTGACGTCACAATTCTGGGGGATCGCTTCTGGTTGGCGCAGGCGCCTCCATTTCTCTGCAGCTTCGCTGATAGCACCTCTCAAAAAAGTGGTGAGGATTTCGAATCAAAGATATAAAGAAAATTTCAGAAATGTAGTAGATTTAGAATTATTACTGATTTAAGTAACTTTACTCCATTTATGTCTCTTATTGTTACTTGCTTGTTTATAGATATGTAAGAATTATATAATTGAATAGATCGGTGTTTTCCCCGGCTTTTTACACCATTGGATTTTTCCCTGGTTCTTGGAATCCTCATCCACCAAGACGGCGAATTTGGGTGTCTGAAAATGGGGAAAATGGCAGGTTTTTTAAGCCATCGGGGTACCTCCAAATCATCCATGACCATGATTTCGGGTTGGTGGTGACTTAACCATCTTGAAACATATGAGTTCGTCAATGGGAAGGATGATATATCCCATATATTGTGGAAAATAATAGCGCCATGTTTGAAACCACCAAGCAGATTTGTTGTAAAAAGGTGACACGTCAGCCCTGCCTGTTTTCTGCCCTCAAGGTGTTCATCTCCACAATGAGCTGAGCATTCTCGGACCTGGTGCGCTGATTTGGAACTCCCCACGGACCTGGTGATTTTGCAGTGCTTCAAATTGTGGCTATGAGATGTTATGGCAGTGTGTCAAAACCTTGTACCCCTGGTGAACATCAAAATAGCTGGTAAATGGATGTTCATTCCTCTAAAAATGGTATTAATAGGTATTGATCCATAGCCTTATGAGTATGTGGCAGTATGTGAGTATGTGTAATACGACTGGAGTATCTCAGTGGATTTTTTCTTGTGAGAAAATTGAGGCTGAAATCCAGGAGGCCTGGCAAGGTTTGGTGCCAAAGGGCAAGAAGTACTTATTTTACATGTTAGATAACTGATTAATAATACTGTAATCACTATTATTAATCATTATTAACTGATTAATAATCCATCAACCATTGGGTGTTTACATGTTTTTACATGTTTAAAAACGAAAGGATGTCTTCAACCAATGGCTGTGAGGACTGTGGTGAGGCTGCTGGGATGCCCAGACGTAAGTTTTCGCACATCTTGTGTGCACTCACGCTTGGTCTGCTCAGCCGCCCTGGCAGGGCACGATGGTTACACCATGGTGACACTGGTGACACATCTGCGAAAAGAAGAAATCTGAGTTGCTGAGCGCCCGGGCGCGGTGGCCACCTCCTTCTTGCGGAAGAGCAGGTCACGTTGGATTCCCATCTCCTCCGAAGCTGGGAGATGTTGATAGATGGTGTGAGCCACCTGTTAGACTCAAATGGCTATTGGTCAAAACCCTGGCACCTAGTGAACCCCAAAATAGCTGGTAAATGGATCCCATTAGAATTGATAATAATAGGTTTTGACCCACCCCCAAATCGACTCAGATCTGGCATCGCTGGAGCATCGCTGTGGCAGCCTCGATGAGTGCCTTGCCATTGGCTTCTGCTTCGTTACCTCGGTCGCTCTATCCTCGATGGGGATGGAGCTCCAAAGGTCACAGGAGAAACGGCGGAAAATCCCAAAAAGTCAAGTGAAAGAATGTCGAAAATATCCAACCACCTGATACCATCTGATACTTATTCTACACCATCAATGTGACGGATGTGCTCTGCGTTGACCAACCGCAGGTGACGATTCTTGCGTGGACATGTCAACACGTCCCAGCAGCGTTGATCGTCTGCCGGCTCGTCCGAGGGCTTCCAATCCTGTGCTAAAAAGGGGGTCGAACAATGATTGTGGTGCTAAAAAGGGGGTCTAATGTGACTCTAATGTGGAGGGCCACTCGAAAATCGGGGTCTAATGAGTCTAAAGAATAAAGGGGGAGCACTGCAACATTGTGCCACGTGAGATGGTGGACCCTGCGACATGCTGCGAAACTGAGCCGCGAACCAAGAGCTTTTGATGCTTCTCCAGGACGCTCTGAGCCGCGGATATGGCATCAAAAATGCGTCAGATAGAAAATAGGAGGATCCACTTTTGGGTCAAGCTCTTCAAAATTGGGTAGTCAAAATTGGGTACCCCAACACTGAGATAGTGACTCAAAAGAGACATTCCAATCAGTGGTCCCCTGGGACTTAACCCATAGCCATAAAAGCCCAGCGCCTGCAGCTTCTTTGGCATCTGCGTGTAATCCTGCGTAGTATCTGGGTGTAGCACTTGCTCCACCTTGCACGGCCCCCATATCGCGCATTGTGGGTATAACACGTCACTGACTGACACATCCACATGTGTATGCGTCAAAAATAGCGGATACAGGGACCGACTATCTAAAGATGGATGGATGGATGAATAGATAGATAGGTAGGTAGGTAGGTAGATAGGTAGATAGCTAGCTAGCTAGCTAGGATGGATAGGTAGCATGGATAGGTAAGATGGATAGGTAGATAGGTAGATAGGTAGATAGATGGGTAGATAGGTAGATAGATGGGTAGATAGCTAGGTAGCTAGCTAGATAGCTAGCTAGCTAGATGGGTAGCTAGATAGGTAGGTAGCTAGATAGGGTAGATAGATAATAATCTCCTAATTGTAGTCGCTTCAGCCCCTTTTTCAGGTCATGGGTTTGGACCCTTGAAGGTAATTGCCTGTTGCATCATCCGGCGGCTGTCCTGCCACAGTGGATGAATTGGTGATTTGACGATTGACCGGCCAAATACATGCAAATACTATGATCTACAAGATACAGAAACCTTTCATGGCAGCTATCTTCAATTCCTGAACCTCAAAGACAGTGGAAGCTACCAGTAACAACCGCCTGGTTAGATTGAACATTGAAATTATAACCCCTAGGTGCTTGCAGAGAGGGTCAAAAGCTCCAAAAGATCTCACAAAACTGTGTGAGATCGGTCCTTCTTCAATTGCACCAGCTGAGCACGAAGCCTGGTCAAACTGCAACCGGATTTTTTGCGGTTGAGAAACCAGGGTTTACCCAATCCTATGCCATCAACATGGGATTCATGATCCCGTAACAGGAATCCAAACAGAATGGGTACATCTACACAAATCCAACACATGGATTAACCAGGATACCCATAGGCTTCAACACCTGGTTAATAGGGATTTATAAGGATTGGTAATCTTTATGCCATAAATCCATATAAATCCCTATTAATGGGCTGATGAAGATCCCCCAATATCGGTATACAATCCAACAAGCTTGACCACATATTGGAGACACATCCAGTGAAGGAAGTCGTGTCCATCGGGGGCGTGCACTGCAAAAAAGTACAAACTATGATTGATTCAGAAGCACTGCCATAGTGCCAGCTACTTTCACACAAAGGCTGAATTCTGCACTGCAGCTGAGATTCTCCACATTCTCCTGTTGCAAGGACGATGATAGCATGCTCTTGTCCTTGGCCGTCAAAAATCCGGGTCCGCGACTCCGCGACGCTCTGAAAATCCCAGTGACTCAGCATCCCGGCGCTCAGTGCATGATCCAGCTTTTGCTTCTGCCGGAACTCACGAACAAACCTAGGAGTGGTTCAGATGAATTTCAGATGAGCCCATGTGCCCACACAAGGGGCGGAACAGGATTTCCTTGCCGTGAAGGACCAATCAAGGATTACAAAATATTGCAAACACACACAAATCGGGCTACCCCGCTACCCTGAACACAGCACCAAGATTGGGAAACTACCAGAGCCACAAACAAGGTAAGCTCCAGGCTCAGTGTACATTTCTCGAACACTGGTCTTGAGTGAGTTTACCTCACCACGCGACTTCAATTTCTCCAAGGCATCGAGACGAGAACGTAAATGCCTGGTATCTGATGCGTATTGATATTATGCCAGAACCCCCACAGCCTGCACTTCCAGCGGATCTCGTTCTTCTTCAAGTGCCCTCACCTACAGCCAGAGTCCAGCATGATGTCAATCATACACAGGATGTCGGACCTTGCCTTGTGAAAGAGCACGAAGCGGAAGCTTTCCAAGTGCTTCATTTGCCTGCAGTATGGTCGGCATGGCTTCCAGTCAGCACACAACGGTGGAATCCCAAGGCCCGATGTGCGCGGGATGCCAAGTGACTCTCTCAACTTGTTGAGGCTTTCATCCTTTACCTGTGGAGATCCCCGGATGTCCAGTTCGGTCAGATTGCTTCCACCCACACAAAAAAATCTGGTCAAGAGCCATAGATGTTTTAGACATACCAAAGTCATTCAAGTTTCATCAAATTTCCCAACTTTGGCATCAAGGTTGGCTGGATCCTCTCTTCACTCTGAAGCAGTACTTGATGACAGGTGCTACGCGACTGTCGGATCCAGGCCTTTAGGCTTCTTTCTCGCTCCTTCAGTTGAGCTCTGACCTGTTCATAGGTAGATCTTCCAAATCCAATCGAGGATGATTCAATGATTTATGCCATTTATGCATATCTATGCAATGTAGATCATGTCAATGTGCTGCTTGGCACAGAGTGTCCGCGTGGCGCCAGAAGAAATCAAGCCCAGAGCTTGAGCTTTTGCATCTCTCAGTGTCTTTGCTGCTTCAACTCACTGGAAACGAAGCAGAATCTGCGGCATCAATGGCCTTCTCCACCATTTCTTGCGAAGCTTGCAACTTTTTCTTCAAGGCTTCTTCACGTTCTGCAGCCTGGGGATAGAAGGTGTATCACCTTTTGATGACCAGACTTTTGGAAATCTCTTTGAAATACCATAAAATCAGCCATTTGGGCGTACCCAGAAAGACCGAACAATCATCTGATAGCCAGGGACCCCAAGAAATCTGCTTCCTAAACCCAGCTTCAAGCTGCCGCCTCAACAAGCTCCGCCTCTTTTGCTTTGACCTGGTCACATCATCTATGTATAGCTAGTAGTTCGTATCGCTTATAAAACACAGGGATTGGTAAATGTCCCATTTTGGGTATATTGGACATCACCTTATAGTAGCCATCTAGTAGACCATATACCATTCATGGTTGGGTGATGTGACCCATGGGGACATCAGTCATGACCCATGAAACAACCAAGTTCTAAGTGGGATGGCACCTTGAAGCCATTACGTTTGGCGGGTCTTCGCTTTGGCGACGTGGCGTCACGTGGCGTCACGTGGCCTGGTTCTGCAACATGCCGATGGTCTGCTTCATGCTGACTCCGTCCTGGTCGACGCAGATGGCACTTAGGAGATCCTAGATATCTTAGCATCTCCTTTTTCATGGATGGTGCAGAAAGCGAACTCCAAACGTCAAAAACTGGAAACATCTCCTATCCTCTGGTAATTTAACGTAACTATGGAAAATCACCATTTTTAATGGGAAAATCCACTATTTCGACTGGGCCATTTTCAATAGCTGAGCTCCCAAGTCGGACGGCTCTCCTTCAGTGCTGTGGTGGACTTCTCGGACTCGTCCTGCAGAGCCTTGCGCCTAATAAGCACCCAGTGTTTTTTCATGAGGTGTTTTACTACTTGGTGGATCATCCCACGAATCGTAAGTGGGTTCAGTTACCCCAGTGATTGATGTGGATTAACCCTACAAAAATCCCATGTCAATCACTGGGGTTATAACCCACTTACTAAGTGGGATGATCCACCAAGTAGGATCCACTAGTCACATCTATTTTGTTGAGGCTACTTCCGGGTGTTTCCCATGGTGGCACAGCACATCTGGGAAGATTGGGACGAGAAGACGAGTCTAGACTCAGGACCACGCTCTCTTTCCACGATTTCCACGATCTGATTTTCGTACTCAAACTCCTGCAAAGGTGTTCTTCAGTTTAGTCACATTGGTGAATCTTTGAATTATATACAAACCAACAAACCATACTAAACCATGCTAACCAGCATCAGCACCATCACCACTAGGTCTAGCAACACCGGAAATCGATTTGCCCGGCGTCCTGCTGGCGCAAAGCTTCTTCAAACTTCAAGCCATCGGATTTCAGCAGGCTGCAAACCTCGGCGGCAGTTCTTCGCAGCGAAGGACTGCGAAACGACAACGACTGCAGGACTGGAGGCACCTTGTCATACTCTGTCCTCCAGTCTCTCAAAGCTTGTTCCTCAATGGGCATCACAGCGCCAGGATGCTCAGAGTGAAAACAGGGGCAAAATCCATTGACACCAATGGGTCTCTGAAACTTCCTCATTGCGAACCATGGCCACGGTTCTTCCACAATTTTCGCAACATGGTGACATGATAAGATTGGAGTTGGATGAAGTCAGACCTGAGCACTGCGAAGTTGAAGAAGCTGCTCTTCATGGGCTTTCAGCAACTGGCACAGCCGCAAAGGTGAAACAAAGTGCCAAGCCAAGGTACAACAATAGAAGTGTACCAACAAGCACAAAGTGTGCAACATTTCGCCAATCTCAGCAGTAGAATTTGTAGCACCTTGGACTTGTCGCCCTCGAATTCATCCCGAAGGTTTTGCAACTCCTGTCATGGAAAAGGTATGGAATTGGAGACCAGCCTGCAGGGCCTGTGACCCGACTGTGACGGCACCTGGAAAGAGGCGCTCTGACGTCTGAGGTTCTCACATCCAAAAGTTTGCTGTTCTTCTCGTACTCTTTCGAGATAGTGCCCTCGAACTCGTCCTGGAAAAACAGGACGAACCCTGGACTCCCTGACCGGTGCGTATTCTCTGTTGAAGGTTCAAACAGTTTAAACTCGAGGTCTGCCGTTCAAATAGGCTTGCCGCTGCCATCCACTGCCATCCTGCATCTTCTTGTGGCGAAGATCGAAGTTTGTGTTGGCCTCACGGATCTCCTTGGGCGCAGTGTCTAAGGAGAAACCCGTCCCAGGCAGGTCCTGCAGTCCTGTGAAAAACGATCTGCAAAGGCCTCCATCTATTCTTATACCATCTTGTAGCCATCCGGAAAATCCATTGGCTTATGGAAGTCTTCTCCAGTTCTCCGTCTCCATCAATTTTCCCTTGCCACCCCAGGGCCCCGCGCCTGGTCGTGTCGCTCAGTGGACTGTTTCAGCTGTAGGAAGAGATCTGCCAACGCATAGATGTAGTGTAGTGAGTAGCTATTTGCATGGTATGCCTGATATGGGGGTTTCCAATCCATGGGGGTACCCCCAGTTTCTCATCCATTTATAGATGGATTTTCCCATGGAAATAAACCATCCAGCGAGCTTGGGATACCCGCATGACTATGGAAACCTCCATATGTGTGCTGTCATGTTATTCATTCTATCGTCACCATCCAATTTTTGAGAGGTTTTTAGGAGGTTCAATCCGAACCCAAGTGAAAAAATGCACAGCAGTCTCCGACCAAAGCGTAAATGAGCAAGTGCATCCAGATCAATTCGCATAGAGACAAAAATGAAACGAGTAGCAGATTCAGCATGAATTGTTTGTTGACATAGTTTATGCTTCAGTTGAGGACATCCACCTGATCTTAGCAGACTTGAAGCCAAGTCTGACCCACCTGCCATGACCAAAACCTCACCCTGAGTGCCGTGCTGTCATACTTCTCATCAGCCAGGCTCCTCTCCGAGCGTCGCCTTAGGATGCATGGTCTGCATGGTTTTCCAAAATCACCAAAAGGATCATTGAAACATATTCAAACATTTTGAAACATATTGAAACCCTATAGGAATAATGGGATGTTTAGCAGTGTAGCACCTATCAACTGGTGATTCGGATTTCGCAACCACAGTATGTCAAGATGAAGATTTCAGATCACCAAGGCACTCGATCTGGATGGAAAGCAGCTTTTCTGACAGCTCCTGTTCCTGGCATTGTGGGCATTCTGCAAAAAATCCAAGAGGATCTGAGATCAGACTTGGAAAAAATTTGGGAAAATTTTCGAGTTTAGAGGTCCAAATGCTGAAAAACAATCTCCAACACCTCGATTTTGTTTTGTGTGTCACGCAACACACGCTGCGCTGTAGGCTGAAGCGTCGCTTTTACAGTTCCATCTGGTTTGGTGAAAGCCAAACACACGAAACTTCCAAGGTCTGAAAGTTCCCTAAAATTAGTTGTTTCGAGTCCTGAAAGGCCAAGATGTATGGTGCATGCGAGGGATTTTGTTTGGTTCTGTTTAGTCAGATGTTTTTCCATAGGTTTTCCCACCGTCCGATATATGATTCGTAACTTACCAGTAGTGCCGCACAAGCCGGTGGCGGAAGTTTCAAAGATAGTCACCTTGCTGTGATGCATGGATGGCAGGGCGAATCCACTGATGGACCGAAAGGTGGTTGGAGTTGTGTTTTTTGGAGTGGTTGCAATGGTTGCAGCGGTCACCTAACCACAACCGCTGGATGTAATGTGGTGTGGCGCAGTTGCAGTTGTAGTTGTAGTGGTAGTGTAGTGTAGTGGAGTTGTAGTGTAGTTGTAGTGTAGTTGTAGTTGTAGTGTAGTGCAATGTAATTAGTGTAGTGTAGCGTTGTGTAATGACTTGTAGTTGTAGTTGTAGTTGTAGTAGCGCGCTGCAGTGTAATTAGTGTAGTGTAGTTTATGCATTCTAGTTGTAATTGTAGTTGTAGCTGTGGTAGTAGCAGTTGTTCTTGTAGTTGTAGTGTAATTAGTGTAGCGTGAGGTAATTAGATGTAGTTAGTGTAGTGAAATGTAATTAGTGTAGGGTAATGTAGCGTAGTATATTTGCATTTGCAGCTGTAGTAGTAGCGTAGTGTAATGGTAGTTGCAGTTGTAGTTGCCTATCTATCTATCTATCTATCTATCTATCTGCAAGCTTGAAAACGAAGCTTTTCTGCAAGACTTTCTCACTTTTTGAATTTGACAACATCAAAAACGCAGCATTTATGCGAGACATCGTCAATTTTTGAACTTGACCATGTCAAAAACGAAGCAATTCTGCGAGACATCCTCAATTTTCGAAGTTGACAACATCAAAAACGAAGCAATTCTGCGAGACTTCCTTCAAAAATGAAAAGTTGAGTGCCCAACTGACAGCCTCGTACCAATGCGTTTTGCATTTTTTCCACTCCACACTGTCTAAAATACTGCACCTGCCATGAAAAAGCGAGGCCAGGTCATACGAAGTGCTGCACCTGTCACGCAAAATCACCTTAGCAAACCTGAAGATCTGATGCTCTTCAAATGTCCCACGCCTACCACCGTTTTTGAAACTGCTACAAAACCCTCATGTTTTGCTCACTTTTGGCAAGGTGCAGAATCCCTTGCGCCTGCCACACGAAACGACATCTGAACGTCCAAAAGGTGGCCCGAGACCGTAAGTTTTTAACATGTTTGACTCCACAAACGTGCTTCGCGCCACAACGGCGTGACTTTTTCAACATCTCAACTTCCAAAAGTGCTCCGAGGCTGAGGTGCTTTGTACATTTTGACTTCGAAATGTGCTTCGCACCGCAACGGCGTGCACTTTTTGAATGTCTCAACTTCCAAGAGTGTTCCGAACATGGTGTGTTTTAGTATTGTGACTTCGAAATGTGCTTTGCGCCACTAAGGCGTTCACTTTTCCACATCACAACTTCCAAAAGTGCTCCGACAATGAGGTGCTTTTGGCATTTTGACTTCGAAATGTCCTTCGCGCCACAACGGCGTGCAACTTTTCATCTCTCATCCCCCCAGATGGCTCTGCACCCGCCGCTTTAGCGAGCCTACTTTTCCACCCTCCGGAGCCACAAAACATTGGAAAAACACAGTGTTTCGCGACTTTTCTACCTTTTCGCGCACCTGCATCTTCTTTCTTCTGACTCTTTCTCTTCTCTGATCTTCTTTCTTCTTCTCTTCTCTTCTCTGACTCTTCCCACCTCTGCTTTTTCATCTGTCCATATTGTCGGAAGTTTGACTTCTAAACTTCCTTCGATAAGATGTATAAAACCGGAATAAATATACTAAACCGAAAGAAACCGACCAAGTCCATCCATCCCGATGGCATCCCATTGCTGCCTTCTCCTTCAAGACGTGTGCGCTTTCATGTTTTAAACCTTGCCTGTTCAGAGGGCTGAAGTAAGAGTGCCACTTGTTGAATGAGATCTCCACAAGCCAATTGGCATGCCGCAAATCTCATCCATCATGCTTGTCCACGGCAATTCGGCAAAACGCAACTGCATGCAGCCGTCTACCTTTGTGATCAAGCCATCTATTTCCTGACCACCAAAGGACTCTCTCGGTCTCCCACATTCGATCTTCGAACTCGCGGATCTCGCTCATCAGTTCCGAGAGGTAGGCCTGGTGTCTCGCTGGGGTTCAACAGCATGTGAAGTCCAAATAATATGGGTAAAACAATGCCATAAAGCTGATTTATACCACCTATCTATGGTGATTTGGGGGATGGTTTATACCACCTACCCATGGTAGAAATGGATCGAGTGGCTCTCAATCAGTTGCACAAGAACGTCTGAACAAGCTTGTTTTGGGGAAGGTTTATACCACCTATCTATGGTGATTTGGGGGATGGTTTATACCACCTACCTATGGTAGCAAAGGATCGAGTGGCTCTCAATCAGTTGCAGAAGAACGTCTGAACAAGCTTGTTTTGGGGAAGGTTTATACCACCTATCTATGGTGATTTGGGGGAATGTTTATACCATCTACCTATGGTAGCAATGGATCGAGTGGCTCTCAATCAGTTGCACAAGAACGTCTGAACAAGCTGGTTTGGGGAAGGTTTATACCACCTATCTATGGTGATTTGGGAGATGGTTTATACCACCTACCTATGGTAGCAATGGATCGAGTGGCTCTCAGTCAGTTGCAGAAGAACGTCTGAACAAGCTGGTTTGGGGAAAGCTTATAGCACCTATCTATGGTGATTTGGGGATGGTTTTTAGCACCTATCTATGGTGATGTGGGGGTGGTTTTTAGCACCTTTCCATGGTGATGTTGGGGATGGTTTACGGGACCTATTTATGATGATTTGGGGGATGGCTTATAGCACCTATGTATGGTGATGTGGGGGATGGTTTATAGCACCTATCTATGATGATTTGGGGATGGTTTATAGCACCTATCTATGGTGATGTAGAGCATGGTTTATAGCACCTATCCATGGTGATGTGGGGGATGGTTTATAGGACCGGACCTATCTATGGTGATTTGGGGGATGGTTTATAGCACCTATCTATGATGTGGGGGATGGTTTATAGGACCTATCGATGGTGATTTGGGGGATGGTTTTTTGCACCTATCTATGGTGATGCGGGGGATGGTTTATAGCACCTATCTATGGTGAATTGGGGGGTTGTTTTTAGCACCTCTCTATGGTGATGTGGGGGATGGTTTATAGCACCTATCTATGGTGATGTGGGGGATGGTTTATAGGACCTATCTATGGTGATTTGGGGGATGGTTTATAGGACCTATCTATGATGATGTGGGGGATGGTTTATAGCACCTATCTATGGTGATGTGAGGGATGGTTTATAGCACCTATCTATCTATGATGATTTGGGGATGGTTTATAGCACCTATCTATGGTGATGTGGGGACTTGTTTATAGGACCCATCTATGGTTTTTTCGGGCATGGTTTGTAGGACCTATCTATGATGATTTGGGGGATGGTTTATAGCACCTATCTATGGTGATGCGGGGGATGGTTTATAGGATCTATCTATGGTGATGCGGGGCATGCTTTTTAGGACCTATCTCTGGTGATGTGGGGGATGGTTTATAGCACCTATGTATGGTGATGTGGGGGATGGTTTATAGGACCTATCTATGATGATTTGGGGATGGTTTATAGCACCTATCTATGGTGATGTAGAGCATGGTTTATAGCACCTATCCATGGTGATGTGGGGGATGGTTTATAGCACCTATCTATGATGTGGGGGATGGTTTATGAAATTGTTTCACCCACATTAGATCAATTTCATTTTGGGGCAGCAACCTTGGGGTGTTCCCACCCCCGCCATCGAAACCTGCCTTGGGGATCATCAGCAGGTCATCCAATGTAGCGGTCGTGGCCGAGATCTTAGTGCTGAATGACTGTGATGCTTAGCAAGTATCTCATTGATCTATCATAGATCTGATGTAAAAAAATCATCTTGGTGTTACTATAACTAATGAGATTTACGGTATCAAAACTTTACTTTTTCCCATCTGTCGCCGGGCAGCTTGGTACCCGAGACCATGGGATTCCCGACCGCCTTCACCGCTTCCCAAAGTTTCTGTTGGAGCTCCAGGGCCTTCAAAAATCGATGCGGCCATGGCTTCCACCATGGCTGAAAAAACGGAAAAATCCACTGGAAATGTCCAATAAAAAGGTGCTTTCCATCGAAACTCTGGAGATTTTTTGAGATTCAGCACCCAAAAAGTTGACGATTGTAGATTAGTGCTTGGATAACCACTGAAAGTGATGATGTGTCACCAAGCTATGGATAACGCGTTTCCAAAATGCGTGTCTCCCCCTCACCCGTAGCTTTCCTCAAATCTCCATGAAGAATTGCAGTTTACAAGGCCCAACCAATTTTGTGCCATAACTATCCAGAACTACCATGGACTGGCAGCCACGGAAATCTTTGCTGGGATGGCCATCAATTACGTCTGCTAAACCTCCCGTGCCTCCGAAGCATTTCCGACAAGCAGGGCTGAATAGAAGCGACTACAGTAACTTTTTTTTTGAAATCATGTTTCATCCTGGAAATCCACTGAAGCTGACAAAACCTTTTTTGCTACGCATCTGAGCTGAGTAAACCTCTGGTTTAGAGCAGAAATGGAGCGCGCCTTCTTCTCATCCTCCTTTTGTGCCTAGCGGCAGGCAACTGTGCCACTCAAGTTGAATCCTGTTGAAGCAGGGCCTCATCTTGAAGCATCTTTATGAAGACGTTCATGAAGATCCCTATCACTTTTACTTCGTCTACGTCTAAATACGTCTAAATATTCCATTCCTTCGAAGTGGTCAAGTCGTCTCATGATTTCAAATGCAAGAGAACAGCTGTGGCCACTTTCACCAATGAAAATATGAAAAACGCCTTGCCGGTCTTCTCACTTTCGCCATGCCTTGCATCACTTTCGGATCAGGATTTGCAGGAGGCTCCGTTCGGCTCCATTCGGTTCAGGACCCTGGCCTGTAGTGCACCAGCTGTTTCTGAAGCCTGGCGATTGGGTTTGAATGTCTCGTGGACTTGGCAAAGGGGGAAACTCAAGTCAGTACATTGCAGTACCCTCCGCTACTCAAACGTGGCAATCGAACATCTCCCATTTACTTTAATGATTTTCCATGATTTTCCCATCAAAATCTCCATTCATAGTCATTTATAGAGAATTTCCCTGCCAGCCATATTTTAGGACGCCGAAGGGCAAATGATTGACCGCAGAATTCAATGCTCACCCCATTTTGGTTCCCAGGCTCGATGTTAACTCGGCCAGGTTGGCTCATTGGTCGGGACCTTCAACACAGCGCCCTCCTCACCCTCCATGGTTTGCATCACCTGAAGACGAAGAATTGAAGAATGGGAAACCAACAAAAATGGAAATTGAGGTATAATGGGGGTATAACCAAGAACTGGTTGGTGGTTGGTGGTTGGTGGTTGGTGGTTGAGCCACCCCCTGAGAAATATGTGCGAAATTGCGCTTCATCATCCCATGTCGTATTGGTTGCTCAATAATTTTCATGAGGATCTTGCTGCTTCCATTGCAAGTCATCATAAATCACCAAAACACCATGTTTTTTTTGAAAAGTACAGAGATGTCATTTCATTATATATATATATACATACATACATACGTACATACATACATACAAACAAACATACATCTATATATACATAGAAACAAAATAAACTAACATCGTGTAAATTCCATGTTTTTTTGACCCAAAGAACCTTCCCCTCTTGGTTCAGAACTCTCCCTGGCCTCTGTGCAAATCACCGAGCCACCCTCACAACCTGGAAAAAAAAGGTGAATTCTTCTGGGATTCTTGGGGCATCATTGCAGAATTCACCAATTACCACTACTGTTGGAAAATTATTGGATGTTGAGTTTTTGGGAATCATTGGAGAATTATTGAGGATTATTGAGGAGCTAGTGGAGAAATATGTGTGTTTGCTATTGGTGAATCATTTGTTCATTCCTGGCTAATTGATGGTTTTTTGTTTGATGAATGGTTCAATATCCAATGGTGCGTAAAACCAACAACCATCCATTGACTAATTGTTGATTTTAAGAAAGAAACATCTCTTGATGGTTGATGGTTCAAGAACACTCATAAATCACATCTCCCCATTGTCTAAAAGGAAAAAAACTATATTTGATCCATTCTCCTCCAATTGTTTCTCGTAGAGGTTCCAGAAGCGGGACGTCTCGTAACACCAAAAAGGAACCGCCTGGCCTGTGAAAAGATACCGCGCATCCAGCGATAAAGCCATTGCACTGATGCTGTGGGCCTTGGGCGTGGGATGGCGTAGCGCAGCAGACGGTCTGCAGTGTGCTGCGCATTTTGAGGAAACTCAGCGTCTTTGCATGCAAAGATATCTCTGTGAGGAATGTAGATCCAACCTGGCAGGTGCACCACCTTTTCAACCCAGTTGCTGTGAAGGTTCTAAGTGACAATAAACGGAATAGATGGTGTTTGCCAAATCTACTGTGCTACTGCGATCCGTCGGACATGCAGTTTCTACGCATAAATTCCTTCATCCATCATAGTTTTGCAGGATTGATGGACTAGACACCTCTGCTGAACTCAAAAAAACACCAAATCCAAAATGATCATGTCAAAAAAATCTTCTCCAAAACAACGATGTCCAAGGGTTTGCCAATATACCGGTAGTACCGCAGAAGGCGGTGGCGGAAGTTTCAAAAATAGGAAACCTATAGGAGAGGCTGGTTGTTATGAATCTGTATTTACAGGTTTCAGCAGGGGTAATTCCTATTACACCCAAATGGACTGATAAACCTATAAACCGGGAAACACCGTTAAGCTAGCAGCTAAACCCTTTTTGGACTGAGCCGCAATGCTTGTCAGCATATTACTATAGTACAGCTATGTTTTACATGGGATGCAAATACACCCCCCTCAGGTGAGCCGGACACGGCAAGGCTGCCCATTTACCAGGGCGAGGCTTTTACACCTGCCTTACCGAGCCAGCTCTTTGCAGACCTGAGGAAAACATACAAAAGTACAGCGGCTATATACAAACGATCGTCAATGCAAGCAGTGTCAAAATTTATCCCTCTTCCCATTCGACTCGGCCATGCCTGATAACCTTTTGGTACCAGCGCCCATGCCACTTCTGCCACTCATTGGTGAACTGTCGATCTTCACGGGAATAACTTTGCTGAGGGCGATTGAGCCACTGACTTGCTGACGTGGATGATGAAGCTACCTCTACGCTTGTGGATGGTCGGGCAACCGGTTTGGCGGTGCCTTTCTTGGAGGGACCTTGGCCGTACGCTCCAGTCTGCTCAGCTTTGCGCTTGGCCTCGTTTTGTTCGCGGGCCCTGTCAGACTGTTTCTTCTTCTCTGCTGCGTTCTGCTTGTACAGCTCTTCATTTTGTCCCTTAATCCACCTCAAATGACGTTCAGCATCATGAACAGCAATGTTGTCAACACCAGTACAAGATAACAAAAGATTGTGTCCAGGATTCCTGCTGAGGTAGTCAATGTACTCTTCTTCGGAGTAGATCTCGGTTCGGTACATGTAGAACCATGGCTGGTCAATGTACCTGAATGATTTTGGGACATCAAGACGGCTTGCCAAATCCAAGTAAACCAGCCTCATCGCGTTGTGCTCAAGCTGAGATTGCTCAGAAATACCCATCTTGACCTGAGCTTTGGTGCGACCCGGCTTTGGCAAATGTGCAGACTTGAGGAGGTCGTACCTTTCACAATCGTACTCGTTCTCCCCCTCGTTCAACACGCTCTCTGCGAATGTGGCGTCTTGGGCAAACCTGTCAGCCACAGACACATAGCCTAAGCTCAAGGCACGGTCGAAACGACTCTTCGCCCTTGCCAACAAATTGGCTTCCGGACTTGAGCTTCCCCTTGCCTGGTCGTCCAACAAACCCAAAGATTCAAGCTGATCGTGTGTGATGCTCTGCAGGTACTCACCACGAAAATCATAGTACAAGCCCAGCTTGTGAAGGGCGGCCTTCCTTCGTTCTGCAATCTTGGTTCGGTCGGCCTTGTTGATCCCTTCGAGCATCAATCCACACACATCGCATTCAATCTGTCCCTTGAAAGTCTGTGCAAAACATCTTGAACATTGCGTGACTTCGATCTTGACCGGCACCGGCTTCTTGTCCTCCTTCTTCACCTCTTTCTTTGAAGGTTGGTCATCGCCTTTAGGGCGAGACTTCTGCTTTGGCACCAGTGACTTTGACGTTGCTGCTGGCGTCTTTTTGGGTGACCCTGCAACTGGAGCTTTCGGATCTTTCTGCACTGCCTTTGGTGGTGCAACTTTTGGAACAGGCTCCAAGAAGGCCGCAGCAGATGATGCCGCAGGCACAGCTGTTGGCACGCTTGTTAGGGCTGCCTTCTTCTTTGCAGGTTCATCCTTTGCCGCTGCATCAACTTCTGAGGTCACAGCTTTTGGAACTTCTGGTGCATGAGGTGCAGAAGTCCCTTCCTTCGGTGGTGTTTTTGGAGGTGTCTTTGGTCCTTCAACCTTTGGCGGTGTCTTCGGTCCTTCAACCTTTGCTTCAGGAGGTTTCGGAGCTTCACCCTTTGGAGGAGGGGGCAACAGTCTGCTGCTTGCATATCCAGGCATACCGGCAAGTTGGGCCACATTTGGTGGCGGAGGCTTCACCTTTCCTGGGAAAAATGTCTTTGCAGCGGGCGCGCCAGTTGAGGCGGCCGGAGATTTGGAACCCGTCCTTTTTGATGCCTTGGCCTCAAAGGTCTCGACAAGCTGTTGGACTCCAACTTCTCCCCCACTGCTCGCTGCAGACTGTGCAATCTCCTGCTGGCGACGATAAAGATTCACCTTCTTGGCCGTGTCATCCACAGAGATGATGTATTGTGGCGGGACGACATCGCTTGTGAGAATGCCGTCGGAAGCTGTCCTGAAAAACACAATTCCAGCCTTGACAGCTTCTGCCATTGCAACCCTGATTTCAATGGGTCGCTCAGCACGCAAACCGCTCACATACTCTTTCTCATCAACACGAACGTCGCTAAAATAAGAGTGAGCTCTTCCTGACGAGTTTCGTTCTCCTCCTCCAGCCACGAAGCCATTCTCAATGATGCCCTTCCAATTGCCTTTTGTAGTCCTGTGATAAACTACGCCAGGGCACATCTGAGGAGTGGTAATCTTTTTACCTTTGGCGTTCATTTTCTGGATCGCTGCTGCTCCAGACAGAGCATAGATTTCCACTGCGTTGAACGTGTCCTCAGCTGAAGCGGCTTCCATGGCACGTTTCGTATGCCCCTGCACTGCGCGGATCCTGATGGGCCAGTAGGCTAACCCTTTACGGGTTGCCTTCTGGTACCCGGCAATGCACTGGAACTCAAAACGGCACTTGTTGTCCCAGTAGAGCAATGAGATGAGCTCTTCAACTGTCATTCGGGGCAACTTGGCTGGCAGCATTTGGTTGAACATTCGAAAGAAGTCATCAAGGTCAAGCCACATGTTTTCATCAAATCCAGAGGTGTCCTGACCCGGCTGTCCACGCGTCACTGCATTGACCTTGGTCTTGTGTCGGTCCATGCGATCTGGGTACCTCAGCTCCTTTGCCCCATCCATCTCCCAACAGGTTTTGACGATCAATTCGTAGGGATGGGCATCAACGACGCAATGTTCAACTACTTCTGCATTTATATTTTCATCCAAAGTGATGCGATATTTGTCAAGGTGTCCAAGTGCGTGTTTCGGAATGATGGTACCCTTGATCTCGTTTTCTTGCAGGGGCTCACCAGCTGAGGTGGCCTGAGTTGAATCCTCCTGCGTCGTCTGAGGTTTCGCCTTGGGGTCAGGCGGAGCTGCGTGGCTCGCCTTGGCTTTGCCAACAGATGGGCCCTCGTGCTCATCGGGATCCAGAGCATCCCATGGGTCGCCTTCCTCATCATCATCTTCGGCGACACCAGCATCAGTCGGGCGATCCCTCAACTCCTCCGCTGTAAAGCTTTCCGGGGTCGAGACACTCGGTGCAGGCTTGTTCACCTTCTCCCGGAGAGAGTTGAGAACCTGCACAAACCTGACTGGGAGGTGCTCCATCTTAGGCGGGACATCGCGCATTGTGGCTTCACCTGCAGGGCGCCTGCGCTTGTACAAAGACAGGTTGTACTGAGGGATCAAAATGTCCGTCATGTGCAGCATGTGGAGAGTTGCCATGACATATCCGATCATCTCGCTTCGGTTGAGCTCGGTCTCGAATGCGTGAAAGTAGTCCCTGAGCTCAAGCCTCGGTGGAAGCATGTCATTCTTGATCCACCGAATCCGATCGTTGTCACTGGCAATCTCCTTGTGGAACCATTCTTTCAGACGTTCAATAAACGTCGTGAAGATGAGACTCAACCCATAAGTGAGCGGGTCGGGCTCGCCGATTAGGGCGGCCTGATCCACTCCCAACTCCTTGAGCTGATTGTTCCACCAAACAATGTTGCCTTTGACCCTGTCCATGATGGCATTCCAGTCACCCTGTGGCTCCCTCTGCCCCCAAATGGGAAGGGGTTCAACACCATGTTCCCCACAAATTTCATTTCCAGACCAAAAGATCACCGAAATAACCCTGATGGCTGATCCATGAGAAGAATATTTTGCCATCAGCTCCTTGATCATGGAAATATTTGCTTTGCAGAGCTGTTGTAAATCCTTACCCCAGAGCATGTCATGACCGATTTCGAGAACCATGTCTGATTTTCGCAATCCCAGATCCTCCTTCAAGGTGTACTTCTTCAAAGTCTTACCCTTTCCAGTGATCAGAGCCAAAGTTGAATCGGAAGTCACCACATAGATGGTGGGCACGACGTCTACCGCCGGCCTTGATGTCCCAGGGACGTACTCAGTAGGCAAGCTCAGATCCCACAGTGAGTCATGCTCCAACTCGGACAGATGGCGGATCTCCTTTGCCCACGGCACGTTCGTCAGGGCGTCCGTAGACATTGACTGCGCAGTGAAACACTGCATAAATCCTGCAGCCAACTCAAGGTCTTCTGTTCTGTTGCCCTGTGCCAGGATGGTTGACGAAGCGAGGATCGTAGAAAAGATGTCCTCCCACCCTGCGTGCCTATCCCCCTGAACATCAAGGCACTTCCGAAAAGCAAGCCACTCCGACATGTTGCTCTGCTGGGGCACGGTCTTTAAACCGGCCGACTTGAGAGCCCGCACGTTCATCTTTTCAGCAATTGACAAATTTGAATCTTCAGAACGTCGGCTCATGGCGGGCAAAGCTAACCTTTTCCTGTTCTTGGCGGTTTGTGCCCGGTTAGCTCTGGAACGAAAACAATCATGGATGAAGTCAGTCAACTTGAATGTGTAGTTCTCTGCAAGCTTCAGTGCAGTACCCCGGCTTTGACCATGAGTGTGGGAACCATCACAAACGTATTCCGATAGACTTGACA